TTTCAGCCGGCGGGCGCAGCTGTTTAAAATATATTGATCACAAATTAAGGTTTTTACTGGACTGGAGCCGCCGACTGGGTGTGGGATGGATTTATGACTACATTAGTTTGTGTTTGCAGAAGAAGTTTTTTTTTTTGCATTGGCCACAAAGACAATACTGTTGATCCTTTAAGTCCTGTAAGTTGAGAGGTGGGGCCTCAGTGGATTGCTGCTGTTTTTCTGCACATCCCTTAGATGCTCAGACTAATAACTTTAGAGGATGAGTCAACATCTCCTCTGCATTGGTCTGGTAACCCCCTGCTGATACGAGGACATACTGCTGCCAAAAAGGCCATTTGTGAGCATTTATATTCTTGTCATTCTCCAAACTTTGGGCCACAACAGTACAGGACATGCTGTCTGTCCTGGTCTCTCCCTACCATTAACCAGCACGCACACACACACACACACACGCACACGCACACGCACACGCACACGCACACACACACACACACACACACACACACACACACACACACACACACAAGAGCCCAACTTGTTTTATTTTATTTATCTATACTATTAAGATTTTATAGTGCATGCCAGCATCTACACACTGTCACGGGCTGCTTTTATTCTCACCATGTTTTTAGGTCTAAGAGTCTGCAGGTGGGCGTGTCTGGAGAGCAGGAGCAACAGCCAGCTGCAGCTCATCTCCAATCATCCTCCAGGGTGTATTTAAGGAGCTGACTTCCTCAACACTCTTGCTGGATGATTACTCAGCCTGGGTAGTTAGAGCCAGATTAAAGATTTATTGTGAAGCTAAGATTAAGACTTAGACTATGAAATGTTTTGGTAAAGCAGATTTCTAACGGACTAGGACCAAGATTAATCCTTCCTTTTGTCCCTTCAAGGAACCATCTCCTCCAGCCATCTCCAAAGAACTTCTCATCAGCTCCACTTCATTCAGCTCCAACCCCTGGCTGTACGTTCTCCAATACGCCCCTACCACCTACCCTTTCTAGCTCACCACACAGGAACTCAGGACCTTGTCTTCATCAAGACTCCTTTGCAACCCATCTTCATAGACCAACCAGTGCTCCTTCGCATGCCCTCTAGCCACCTCCTGACAGTAAGCCAAAACCTTCAGTTATCCATCCCATCATCTCTCAAGGCTATTAACCTTTGTCTCTCCTTTAGAACATCCTGGCACATCCTGCATCCGTTTGAGCAGTGCTTTAAGTTCTCCATTCTACAAATAAATTTTTTATTTTCTTGCCTCTCTGTTCCCATCTCTGATTCTGCATGTCGTGGGTCAAAAGAATACCACAGAACATGACACACACCTCTCCAACATTTTAACTTTGCACTCTCCACATAAATAAGGTCATGTGAGCAGATGCTCCTGATTGTTTCTGAGGATCAGATTAAGTAAGTAATGTAACACATTTCGCAGAAAGAATCACAAAATATTTTACAAACACTGAAGAAAAGTAAAGAACGAATGACGAGATCACACATGTGGTGATAAAAATCCCAGATTAGGCCTGGAATATACTTGCTTTTTAACCTTGCGCTGGTGCAGGCAGCAGACTGTGTCTCTGTTCACATGCTTGCTGCATGTAGTCCTGGAGGATTCGACTGGGTAGAGTACAGTAGAGTACTCAGACTGGATAGAGAGCTGAGTTTGTGGGTACAACCAAAACAAACATGGCGTCAATAGAAGAGATCAGTAACTGCTTCATTTTGAGATTACGGCAGAAAAAAAGACAGCAGCTGCATTGTTGATGGTATGAAAGACCTTTAAACAAGAACATAATGAGAATTCGTTCAGAAAGTCATGCCTGTGCTTCTGCTTACGAGGCCCCTTGGGTGCTATTATGTCTTTTAGAATAAACTGACATTTATCTCCATTAGCACAACAGTCCACTAAAGGAAAGTATTACTAAATAATAGTTATGAGCTACAATAGAAATGTGACCTTCTCATTTACTCTGGTGCCATGCATTTACAAAATCGATGGATTTTAAAGGATAAAATTGATGAAACCAAAAAAACCTGAACAATATCTTCAAGCAGGATCCATCTAAAGCACCAAATGTCAAGATTCCGTTATTCTGACCTTAAATTTAGAGAATTTCTTTCATTCTTTCTTTTAAACACTTGTAACAATTATGCAATCCAGACAAGTTGTCTCTTAGCAACAACACAATTCAGCTTCAGCACCTGATTTCATTTTTCAGTTAATTTTAAGCCCACAGTTCAAGCAGACACCAACGTTGTTTCTACAACTGCTTACGTTATTGAATATATTTCAATTTTGTCCTCAGAGCTTAGCTCTGATGAAAAATGAGACACTTAAATCTGTAACGGGCTCACTAGAATTTATCAGATCCAGATATTGACCCAACTCAGCAATAAAAAGGCAAGATATGCAGAGCTGGAAAACTGCAGCAGGTGATTCATGAATTTAATTTATTTCTCCAAATTAGTCACAGATGACGCAGAACGCAGATCAGTGGAACACTGAACTTCCTGACCCTCTAGAATCAGTCTTACAAATAAAGGTTTGTCAGATCAAGGGTTTCCTAATTGATCTAGTAGTTTTTAGGATTATTATATTCTAATCAGTGGTCTAACATTTAAATAGCAGCTTCTTCTTCTGCATGTTTATACTTATTTTTTCACAAATACATGTGAGAAAACCACACAAATGCTGCACATTGAAAATTGTAATTTTCACTAATTGTCCAATTAAAAAAAAGGTTTTTATTTGTGTGATGCAATTCAATTTGCAGACCTATTAAATATTCAAACAAATACTGAATTTAAAAGGTTTTTGTTGTGCATAAGAAGCTCAGCGAACCCTATAGGAACTGTTGTTATCCCCATAAAGCCACATTTATCCTAGCAAAAACATCTTTCTACGTTTTTAGGACTTTTATTTTTTTAACAGGACTAGTGCGTTCCTTTAGAAGCTGCTCTTCTGTCCTCTTATGGAGCCTTTAGGTTTTGCAGGGAGAAAGAGCCAACTTTATTTCTGTTTATCATTCTATTGTTATAGATGAAAATGTATATTTACGTTTTAAATTACAATCAACAATAAATGGTAAATGGCCTGCATTTGATATAGCGCCTTCTAGATGCATGGAACCCCTCAAGGTGCTTTACAACACAATCAGTTATTCACCCATTCACACACACATTCACACACTGGCGGGGACGAGCCCTGGGGCACACTGACAGAGGCGAGGCTGCCGAGCACTGGCGTCACCGGTCCCTCCGACCACCACCAGCAGGAAACGTGGGTTAAGTGTCTTGCCCAAGGACACAACGACAGCGACAGATTGAGCGGGGCTCGAACCTGCAACCCTCCGATTACGGGGCGAGCACTTAACTCCTGTGCCACCGTCGCCCCACAATAAACTGTTTTTTCGATATTTCCTGTAATTAAAGTGTTAAAATAACATCAGTTCAAGTGAAACCATTCAAGAATTGTAGATCTTTGTTTCATGTTGTTGATATTTAAGTCATAAAGAAATAAAGCAATAAAGACATATATTTTGTAAACAGCAGATTTTAGTGCTTTATTTGATTGTTGAACGTGAAGGACCATGTTCCTCCTCCTACTCACAGTTCCACAGAATCCTACTATTGTAACAGTTGCAAATGTTATTCTTGTACTAGAGCTGTGAACAAGAGTGTGTTTGTTTTGTAAATGAGTATCAAAAAGGAACAAGAGCATACGTGTGGAAAGAAAAAAGAGAGCGAAGACATATTTTATGTAATAATGATGAATTAAAACATCTTAACTCATATTTGACCTCAAAATGTGTCTCACTAAAATTTGTCATTTTGTAAACGTTCTAAAATTGTGCAGAGGGATTCAAAAACAGGCGGGGAAGACTCAGCTCCTGCAGCACAAGATGAAGGAGAGAAGGAAGATGATGCAACAGGGAGTGATGTGAAATCAGCAAAAATAGACACAGAAGTAAAAAGATGAAAGGATAAGCAGGAAAATGTTGTCCTCTGGCGAAGAATAAGATTAATATTTTATTTGGTTCCTGAATTGATGTAGATTGAAACATCTATGATGATCAAAATAACACGGTAGAATAAGTTATGTTTAGTTGATCATCATGAATGTCTCTGTGAGAGTAATCTCCATCATCGATCAGGTAGCGGTGTGATTAGTTTTTATGTCACTTGCCCCGAACGTGCAGAGCTTGTAGTTTTGTGTGCTTCAGTCTTCACAACTACAAGCTCTGTCCTTTCTCTGTGTCAGGATGACCCGGCAGTCTGAGATCCACTTCAGTCCATTCAGCAGGACACCGCCAAAAAGTCTCCTCAGTCCAGATAAGAAAAGCTTTCTGAATATTTCTTCACAAAATCTAAAAATATCAGTTGACCGAGTCATAAATCTCCGTTGGCTTTCCAAAGATTTGTTGATTTGTAATCAAATTATTACCAGTAAAATGTTAAATCACATAAACTCACTGGTGACCTGGACATATGAGAAGAATCAAGGAATGGAGATGCCGTTGGGAGACTGATGACCACTGGGACTGTCTTAGTGTGCTGAAGTTCAAGAGGATTCTGTTCTGATGAGCGATTCAGACCTGTGATAGGACGCAGTCAGGCAGCAGAGACGAGCCAGACCCTGCTGTTGTTTTTGTCCTTCCAAAAGGCCTCTCTTCACATTTTAACTGTACCTGGAGAACAATTCAGAAGAAAGAATGAGCAGAAAAAAAAACAGAGTTCCCAAATGACCTTCAGCCTTCCATCTTAAGGATGGATTGCTCACCAAAGACTTTCCATTAGCTAGAACCACGGAGAACCTTAACTTAACATGTACCGTATTTTCCGGACTAAGAGCCGCTACTTTTTCCCACGCGTTGAACCGTGCAGCTTATAATGAGGTGCGGCTTTAGTCAACCAGAAAGGATGGATGCTGGAAAGTCTAATGAAGGAATGGTTAAAGGAGTGCTATGGAAAGAGCCCGGGAGCATTTTTTTCACAGTAAAACAGTGCTGCTTGTTTTCTCAGCTTCACCCCGGGATGATGACAGCAACACGGAGAGCGACACTGACATCGCCACAGAAAAGGTATGTGACGAAGCTCTTCCGAGGCTGTTCAACTCCAACACTGAAGAAGATGACTTCAGTGGTTTCAGTGCGCAGGAGGACGATGAATAAACTAATCAATAACTTCTGTTTTGTTTGATACTGATCAGTTCAGTTACGTTCAGTTAAACTACGCTTTCAATTCAGTAGATATATGCGGCTTTTAGCCCGGTGCGGCTTATATTGAGGTGCGCTCTATAGTCTGGAATTTACGGTACATCCACTCCCAGAATACAACAAGAAAGGAAGTTGTGCCACAATCTTCTGTGCTCTTGGCTCCCAGAAACCAAGCAGAAACAAACTGAGGGAGGAAATTTTTATGGGTGGTCAACAAGCTGAGTGGGTGTTTGCAAAACAGAGACAAAAACCTCATTGTGAGGGCTTTTTGCACCAGATGGATTTTAATGTTTCTCAGTTAAACTGAAAAAAGAGTAAATGCTAAAAGCAGAATGAATACATATAATAGAAAGATATAGGTGCATTTTGACTTTATTTTGCTCTAGTAAATAGAATACTGTACAGAGCCAACAAAAACAAAGACAAACAAATAAATACAATGAGGAAAGTTTATTTTTAGCACATTTTGAGCGTATTCAGTGTCATTTAAGTGTGGTTTCTGGTGGAATAAGTCCATCTTTTCAGAGGCAGACTGTTTTAATTTTGATGAAAAATATCACTTATATTTAAAACACATTTTCACCTATAGATTAATTCAAGGATGTTGTGTTTGACACATAATTTGTTTAGCACCTGACTTTTTGTTTCATCACAGAGGCTGGAAGAATGTATGTGCAGCATGCACACTTTCCTGCGTTTGTGGATTATGTCTCAAAGTACAAAGAACATGCATCAACCCAACATGAAATGTAGCATTATTGGTCCAGACAACAGGATGACAATATTAAGTCTGGGATGTGAGTGATGCTTCATTTGCAAACTCATGAATCCAGATTAGTTATTAAAGAAACAGAGATATTTTATCCCAAATACAAATTGCACAACAGCTTTGACACAGTGTTTAATCCACATTGCTTTGTTTATTGGCCCAAAGGAATCACATTGCATAAGACTGACAAGCAATATGAAGCCTACACATGCTCTTCAGTGGCCAATCACATTTACATGAACACATTTAAAACAAGTTATCACAGAAATCATAATATTAAACAATGATGTTTAAGTGGTTTAAAAAGACCAAACTAAGCAATTGTTTCATGTTTATCCAATTAGGAGAACATTTTACCCCAGAAGATCAGCTGTTGTGTTTATTATTTTTATTTAATTGTCACTAAAATGTAAATGAGGAGAATTACATTCAACAAAGCAATAGGCACGTGTTGTAAAAAGTCCTCTAAAACCAATACTCACTCTGCTTCCACTGCTCCTTATTTATCGTGCAACTATTATTATAATTGAAAGATGTCTTGTTCCTTTAATGGGATTACCATATTTTACTTTAGCCACAAAAGCTGCTTTACATATTGGACAAGATGTCCCCTACTTGGAAGTCAGGTAGAGGACGAAGACATCATCTTCATCATGTCCAAATTTTAGTTTCACATTAGGGTTTTGTAGCGTAAGCACGTCCATGACAGACTCGCTAAACGGTCTAAAAACAAAGGTACAAAAGGTGGAGACTGTCTGTGTGTGTGTGTGTGTGTGTGTGTGTGTGTGTGTGTGTGTGTGTGTGTGTGTGTGTGTGTGTGTGTGTGTGTGTGTGTGTGTGTGTAGCCTTCATTGAACAATGACATCTCTGAGAATTGTTGAGACAAAAAATCATTGCAAATTTATCGTTTGGCATTCTAGAGGCATCCTGTGAAGAAAAGATAAGATGTAAATCTGAGGCATTTTTCACCTTCAGTGGTTGAAGGTTTACTGGTTGAAAGGCCAAACCTATTCCTGTGAACACATGACGTTTGTGTTTTCTTAAACGTGGACTTAAACAGTACTTTAAAAGAAGTTTGTTTATTTTATTAGTTAAACGGTGTCAGAATGTCATTTTTTGTGGAAAAATAAGAATTAGACAAAGGCTCTTGTGCTCCTCCTTGCTTCTTTTGCAAATATTTTCTATATGCAAATATAGTTAATTCAAAATTCATTCAAAACAACTGAACAGACTATTTAGGGATGGGAGGTAAAGTTTCAGTAGCAGAAACGAAGTTTACAATTCAACTGACCCAGCTGACATCCTGTACAATCACGACACCATACTTGCATTTTATCTGCAAAACGTCCGTCAACCATCATCAGATGTTCTTTCACCCTTTATAAATATCTGAAGAGGTCAGAGCCAATCAGTAAATCCCTTCCATGCATTAGTGGCTTGAGGGAATGGAGAGGAAGCCAGCTGGATCTGCTAGATTTTGTGAGCCTCATCAAATCATTAAGTAATTACACTCTCCCCAACCATGCTGGTGTGTATTTCCCTGTTGAAATGAGCCAGTCCTGGCACAAAAGAACATCAATTCATCATGTGAACAACACAAATTGAATGATTCTTATAATCAATGCTGAAAAGTTACATTTTTGAATAGATTTCAGAGTATTTTGGTCAGAATTTGACAACAACATGTTTACAGAATCCATTAAAGTCTGAAAAATCGATTATTGAAATCATTTAAAACCAACATTACCCTAGAAGGGCCAATTAAAAAACCCTACACGTATTTTCATCTCATGTTTGTGGTGGGCGATGGTGGCACAGGAGTTAGGTGCTCATCCCGAAATAAGAAGGTTGCAGGTTTGAGCCCCGCTCAGTCTGTCGCTGTCGTTGTGTCCTTGGGCAAGACACTTAACCCCCCTTGCCTGCTGGTGGTGGCCAGTGCTCTGCAGCCTCACCTCTGTCAGTGCGCCCCAGGGCAGCTGTGGCTACATTGTAGCTCATCCCCACCAGTGTGTGAATGTGTGTGTGAATGGGTGAATGGCCAATTGTGTTGTAAAGCGCCTTGGGGGTTCCAGGACTCTAGAAGGTGCCATGTTTCTCTGCAGCTTTAGATCTAATTCATTAGTAAAACCGTACTTCAGTGCAACAGGAAATGCTCCCAGTAAATATTGCATTGGCTTTTACTGCATTCATGTTTGAACTAGCTACAGTTATTTACTTATTTTGTCCAAAGTTCATTGTCTGTCCTAGGGGCGGGGCCACAAGGGCATTGGCCCCTACTGAAATCTGATTGGCCCCCTGAAGTGCCCCTGTCCTGTCACTCATCTGTCCTTTGTGCAACGATCAGCTTATAAGTGGATGCAATTCCACGCCCGCACACTAGTGATGCTAATAAGCCAAATAGGAGTTTCCTACCATGAAATTTTGTCCAAGTGGGAAACGCCGCCTGCCAAAAGTGAAGCCAACACAGAAGTGACAAAAATTGCTGTTCCCCCCTCATCCACTAGGGGCTGGCTCAAGAACAGAGCCAATTCCGTTAACAAACTTCACAGCAGGAATAAACATGTTGACAGCCTGGTACAAAAACATTTTCGGCAGGTCAATTTTATCGTTATGACAACTTTTTTGTTACTCTAATCTAATGTAATTAAAGTTAGAAATGATGAATAATTAGGGGTGTGTCCTTTTGATTGACAGGTAGTAGAGCTGTCAGTTCTAATGCTAGCGGCTTGCCCCCCTGCTTGATCCAGCAAAGATCTCAGCCTTGGGCTCACGTTAAAAGTGTTAGAGCCTAGACGGCAGAGGGTACCAGAGTCACTCAACTACAGTTTTCAGACTAAAAGCACCCTACAACCCCTGTTAGGTCAGTTAGCTTGTAGCTACATCGGCTCAGAATTTGATGGGTGTCAATCATTTGCCCCCACCCTCACAGCCCCGCTCTCAGCTCCACCTCTTTAATCATTTTTGTATTTTTTGGGAGTGACTCAATGTGTGATGTGGCCAAGATGGCGATAGTGGGAACTGCCCACTGTGTTTCAATTCGGCTCTTCAGAAGCCTAAGGGTGACGTGACGCGTGATTGCCCCATACTCCGCTAAATCCTAGATCCGCCACTGCCACAGTGGGGGACTTGTGGGATGTCTGTTACCTGAAAACTCAAAGCCACATTCAGAATGGTTCAGCTTTCAGGATGTAATTTTTAGTGCAGATAGAAAATAACTATAAGCCAGGCATTCGAGAGGAAGGTGATTGAGCCAAATCCTACAACAATTCATAAATGAGAATTGGTTTTAAAAGCTCAGAGGTGACAGTTTGAGTTTAAACGAACTGCTGCACGATAAATCTTCTCAATGCACAGCCGCGCACTCAATTAGTTTCATTATTAATTCAGGTTAGAGCCACTTACATCAACATAATGCCACTAGATGTTAGAGATATTGATTACTTGTTAAGGACAACATTTTTACAACACATTTAGGTGGTGGTGAACTCCAGAATAATCATGGACATTGACTGTTTTATACTGGGAAACAAAAACCAACAAACTCTATTATCTGATGTTTTCTTGGTCAATAAGGAGTTACCTCTCTCCCTTTCTTGACATTTTTTAATCACAGTTACCTGTTTTTTTTGCTCATTTTAAGTATATTTTTTACCATTTTCTAAATTATTTTTCATATTTTTACATTTTTTGTTTTTGTGAAGCGCCTCATGATTTTTATCTTGAGAGGCGCTATAGAAATTATCTTCTCTTCTTCTTCTTCTTCTACTTGGAAACCGAAAAGACTCGTTTCACTTCAGAGATAACAGTTTCTGATTGGCTCGTGATCACTGAGCCTGTGTGTTTGTTCAGTTAAAAAGTAGAACCAGGCCCGGGAGATGGAGCGCATTAGCCTAATCTTATTGGTGGTTGTGCTGAGGAGGCAGACTTCCAGGCCAGTTATGATGACGGACAGTCTCATAACCTGAAAGGTTACCATGGCAGCAAATGTGCCAAACCTTGACCTGTCTTTTACCAGCCATGATGAAAACGGACTCAAAGAGCACTACAGGGTGATGATCGTGGTCATCATTACGCTGCTGCTGCACAGAGTCCTGATTCAAACCGGCTTTAAAAGAGAGGGATGCAACTTCCACCGTGGATGCTCACCCCTTCGTTTCACATTTGGAAAGCTGGCACCAAAAGCAAGGCTGCTCTTCAGAAAATCTTACTGATTGCATTTGGAGGCTGCTGACAAATAGCATCCTGTGTTGTTAAAAAGCTTTGAATAATTAACTCTGTTTAGAAGAGCAACTGGGGTAAAAACTATTATATTTAAGTGACTCTATGAAAAATAGTGGAATACTAAAAGACATGGTATAAAATACATAAATAAAATCTTCACAGTGCATTTCACAGTGTCGTTTCTGCATATTATTCTGCCTTTTGTGTAGGACGGGCAAAAAGAAATTGAAATTGTATGCCAGAAAACAAGAACAAAAAACATGTTTCAACTCTACCTGCAGTCATAACTCCCACTTCTGTTATTAAAACGTTCCATTTTATTGATAGTGGCATTGTTGATTGTTAAATAGCCAGATACATCACAGTGAAATTTAGTCAAAAATGGCTAATTTGGAAAACAAATTAGTTTAAAGCATTCATGGCACTTAACAATGTTCTAACATACTACAGCTATAAATATATTGGGGAAATAAGAAAAAAGATTAAATGAAGTGGTTCTCTGGCATTTTTCAAAAAAACCTCTGTCAAGGACACATTTTGGGCCAAAAGCAATTATTGGACCATCCGTTGTCGATCTGGGCAAACCACCGACTTCCCTGGGTCCTCCAATCATTACATCCTTGAGTACTAAACAATAGAACACCACTGGTGTGAGAGGTTCTGCGCTTTATCATATCAGAGACGGAGAAACAGCCGGCTGCTACCACTTCAACTTCAGGACAAACTACCAGAGTCCCAAAAAGAAAAACCATTTGAAGTCACAGACAACAAAAGATGTTTGGACCTACTGACTGGTGTTTAGCGATCTCTTGTTTCCTCTTGAAATGTGGGTTTCTGTTTCTGGCATAAGTGTCTTGAGGAAGAAACCCAAGGGGAGGGGTGAGTGTTCTGTGACCATGTTTGCGTTCAAAACCTAGCTTGTTCTGTAGATTAGCGATAACAGCATTAATTTTATTCAGATGAGCAAAACATTTTAAAAAGTCTTCTGATTCTGAATACTGGCTGCTAAAGCTAAGGAGCACCTCTTGTGAGAAGTGATTGATATAACAATCATTTACAATGTCAACAGCACACAGACACACACACACACGCACGCACGCACGCAAACACACACACACACACACACACACACACACACACACACACACACACACACACACACACACACACAAATAGAATTATACAATAAATAAAATAATCTGCATCTGGCTCAATTCCAGAGCTTTGCAACTGACAGATTTTCTCCTTAAAAGTGGATTTATGGCAGAAATGACAAATATATTTACAAGACTATTCAAGCACTTCAATGTTTTCTTGAGTGCTAAACATTCACAATATAGAGAAGGCTGTTCAGTCACTTTGTGGCTTCAAGCTGCTGAGAGCAAACACCATGAGATGCATCTCCGGTAAGTCTGAAGTCACTCACATTCAGTAGCCGGGTCTGGGTGAAGTTTGGTATCAAACTTGGTGATGAGAAATGTGTGATGGCCGCACAGCAGCCGAAAATCAGGAGGTGACACAGTCATGCATCCACATGCTGGTTAGGCAACTTTCAATGGAATGTGTTGTAAACAAAACAAATGCTCCGAGCAGGCTTGGCTCAATCCCTTATTGTGCAGAAAGTCACTCACTTCATTTTCATTTGCAGACTTTCTGATATTTCCGAAAGCCTTTTTGTCTAACAGTCAGAAGACAGCAATCACTGTAAAAGCTCGAGTTAGTTACTTTGTGACTTTAGAAGGTTGCCATCTTGATTCGGCTTGCTTCCAGTATCAGGAGCTGTCTGAGACTCCTTCTGCTCCTCTACGGAGCAGTTGGACACAGCATTAGCCATGATGCAGAACTTGCGCAGGAGGATCTCCCTCAGGAGTAGATACACCCACGGGTCCAGGATTTGGTTGAGGGAGGCCAGCCGTATCGCTGCCAGGAAGAAGTTGCAGTCTAGTACAGCATCCTGGCTTAAGGTGGTGTTGTATTCAAGGGATGTTGAATTACACGCATCAGAAGACACATTGTTGTAGATCATCTTCAGCAGCAGTACCTGAGAGGAGAGATGTTTAGACAGATCTTAAAGTGTCTGCAGGAATCTTAAGAAAAGATGTGTGCAGGATTATTTTCATGGGAATGTTTCTGCTTTTAAGTAGATGAGATGAAAATAAAAGAGTTAGAGTTTGTGGACTCAGTCTAGGGTATCCCCGGGGTGTGCATGGCCTCGCTGCACCTTCAGCAGATCCCCAAACATGACTCCTAAGTGGATTATCACTTAATGGAAAATGGCAGCAGTTTATAACATGATGGGATTATTATTTTTACTTGGAGATTGTGGATGTAAAGAGGATGAATGGGAACAAGTACATTTAGATGAGGGATTGATGTTTAAATAGATTAAAAAATGGTGCTTTATTTCCTCATCAGTAAATGTGGAGCATCTCCATGAAATCGTACCTCTTCATTTTATTATTTCTGTTTTCAAACACCAGACTAACTAACACAAACTACCACAGTCCCAAAAAAAGAAAAACACCATTTGAATTCACGGACAAAAAAAGATATTTGGATCTAGAAAACGGCGACTGGTATTTAGAGCTCTCTCGTTTGCCCTGGCATCACCGGTTTCTGGTTCTGACAAAAGCATCACAAGGAAATACACGAAGGAAGGGGTGAGTGTTCCGTGACCATGTTCCTGTTCAAATCCAAGCTCGTCGTAGAGCTCCTATAACAGCTTTAATTCCCATATTAGCTAAATACTTAATTTAGATCACCATTTTTATATTTGGATCACAACCATTTCTTTTAACTCAAAGGTTTTAAAACAGGAAAGTTTAAACAATTGGATTAAACCTGAAACATTTTTGATTAACTCTAAATATTTAGATTTAATTTTAAATTTCAATATTTGATTCAATTTTAAACAGCTAGGTCTTATTTAGAAAAATGTTGATTAAACTTTAAATATTTTGGTTTAACTATAAATAGTTGGATTGTAGCGTTAAGGACTGACTACATATATATTAAATGATCAATAAGATGTGATATTCCATATAAATAATAAGTATCAATCTGATTGGTCTTTGAATGTTTAATCAGAAGACTTAAGTTTCTTTGACTTATTCAGGGAACATACACACTTCACATTAATCCAGAGAGTCAAGAATATAGTTATAAAAATGATTTTTAATTTCCTAAACTAAATGATTGTACATGACAAAGTATGAACAGAGTGATGGTTATACAAGATGACAGACGATGGATGGAATGATGGAACGTGAGCTAGATGTTTTAGCAAAACCTTTTAAGTATCTGAGAGAGACTGTGGAGACTGGGTTGTAAAATCAATTTGGCCGTGTGTTTCATAAACCAGAGATTTGTTTATAAAACCATCTGATCCAATTTGTGCCAGTCTACGCACCCTTGTATGAAGATCCCTAAGCGATCCAGGGGTTCAGGAGGCTGAGATGGATACTGCAGATGGCGTGGACCTCTGGAGCCCCTAGGCAGCTCCGATTACAACCTGTCTAGTCTGGGTTATCTTCTGGGTGACTCTTAAAAGAGCCGTTGTGTCTGAAATCACTCACAAGCGTTTCAGAGAGGCTTTGACCTTGAGGTCGAAAGATAAGATGGTCTCAAAAAGCTTGTTCACCCGATTGGGCTTATCAAGCAAACGCAGAAGACTTAACTGGATCAGGAAGTGTTCTCGTTTTTATTAGCTTTCGTTTATAAACTTGGACGAATCAGAATTTGACGCGTTTAAAGGGCGTTAACAAACTCCTCCTCTCAGATATTCGGAGGTTAACTCTTGGTGTGAAGCGAAAATATTTTTACACATTTCTGTGACGTGAATGTAAAACCTTAATATTAATGTTATGATGTATGAGTATACTGATAGATGAACTTGTTAAATCAACAAATACTGATCTGGTGTAGTTTAAGATCTGAAATTAATCAATGTAGAAAAAATATTCATTTTAACACATCATGGATTGATGCATAGATTATTCAGACACTTTGGGATTTAACAAGAGATTATTATATGACACTTGTGCATTTATCACGTTTTAAAAAGTATTTTATGATTCAAGGAAGATTAACTTTATTCAGAGTGAGTGCAAAAGTCTCGTCTTCTGCGTGGCTTTTGTTCCAGCCACGATAAAGTAGCTGGGAATTATTATGTCTCCTTTATCTGGTGACAAGGACTTGTGCAGTGCTTTTTTGTTTGGAGGCCAGACAGATGGGGTGTTTGTGTCTGCTAATTAAAAGTTAATTTCTGGTCATTTTTTATGTGAATTCTTAACAAATGGGTATGCTACAGGATTTAATTGTAAATGATTGCATAATTTATTTGTTTTAAACTGACACGCTTTATTTATACGATTGTTTAGATGAAACTTTAAATGTTTTACTTTAACTCTGAATATATATCTATTTGAAGTTAAGTCTAGTCAAATATTGTCATTTTTTGTTGCAAGCTTTAATTTCCAATCAGCACCCCATAGATTTCAACGAAGCAACATTCAAACAATAATCCCACTAAAACACGTGAGTATTGGATGTGTTAAAGAGTTCTGGGTTTATTCTCAGTGTAAATAAGACAGCAGACATACCAGCAAAGGAGACCAGCATATGAGCAGAACGCACATGATCCCCAGCAGCTGGATGACTGTCTCCGTGGTGAGACGTTCCCACTGCTTTGAAGACTGAGACGTGCCTGTTTTTGTTTTACACCTGATGATCAAACCCCGGATCGTCATCACATTGCAAGACACAGTCACCATCAGAGAGAAAACACCCAGAACAGCGAAGGTGATGGCGAAAATCGTGTTGTCCATGCCGTCACTTTTTCTCGTGTTGATGAAACACCAGGTGTCCGGCCACTGGATCGTGTACTCCCCGATCCCCACGATGGGCAGCAGAGCAAAGAGGAACCCGAGGCACCATATGACAGCCAAAACATGCTTGGTCACACTAGTCTTCATGTGATTCGAGTACCAGTGGGGGTTCGTTATGGCCATGGCCCTTTCCACTGCCATGGCACTGGCTAGGAAGAGTGCGCACAGGCCAAAAGTTGTCATGCAAACACCGAAATAAGTACAAAGTTTGCCGGATGAATCGATCTTGCTCCATTTAAGTCCAGCCCGATAGGCTGATATAACAACCGGACTGGTCAAAAGCTGTCCAAACAGATCAGTAAGCGCCAGTGATCCGATACACAGCAAAAATGACTTTTTTCTTTTATTCTCCTTCTTTCTGTAAGATATATACACCAGAATAAGAGCTAAAGAGTTTCCAACCATCCCAGTGACCATCATGGTAATTGGGAATCCCACGGATAGAGTTCCATTACTTGGATTCATTCTGGGCATGGTCTTGGAAGTGTTGGAGTCCTCTGCGCCTTCGAGAAGAATTGTCGTGCCTACTGGAGAGTCGCAGCTGCACATGAACATCCTTTAGGGAGGAACGATATTAGAAACTGCCAATAATCCGCGCGTGTCCGTCCGGCATCTTCGTGCGCTCTCAGCTTCTCCAAGTGAATACGGCGCGTAAAAGCGCGTCTTGTCTTCTTACGCGCAGGGGGCGGGAATAACTATGAGCGTTTAGAGAGAAGCACCAACCGCACACCACTGATGAACTAAAATAATTAACTAACAGGAAATAAATGTTTTATAGGGGGCCCTCTAGTTGATTTGATATATGCGTACAAGTGACAGTTTTACTGGGAAGTAAAATAACAGAAATTGGGTCGGCTTGGTAACTCCAGGAGAAAAAATACACGTTTGATTCCAGTCTGGACTCTGAGGAGGATGCGGGGGAATAAACACCCCCGATGCGCCTCAGGAACAGGAACCTATAAAGCCAGGTCCTTGAGCGCGCGCGTGTAAAAACAGAACGCAGGTGTGTCAAATCATCAGGATCATTTTTAACCTATTAAAATGCTTCTTTTAAGGACCTTGTGATTCACACTCGTCCAACACATCTCAAGAAAACACCGTATTCATATAAGTGTTAGTTTATGCAAGCATAATTCAAATTTACATTAAAAATTTTAAATACGGCAACATGTTGAGCATCATAATGAAAGAAACGAAAATAAAATCTCACCTGTTTCCAACTTTCAGGATTTAACAATTTTACAAGGTTCAGAACAGACCAACGCTGCCACCTGTCGACCATGTTAAACGTCGCTACAATACTTCTGCACCAAAATGCTGGCCCCATTTCAGATTCATGAAAATAATCTTACCTCAACAGAAGTAGATGCCAAATAATTGTGTGCAGAAAAAAGATCAAATTAAAATGTCTACAACGAACAGAACATTCAAAATAGATGTTCGTATTTTTCTTTTTAAATGAAATAACTTTTAGCAAAATATTGTCCCCATATTTCTGTAACTATGTACAAACCCTTCATTTTTAATGCATCTTCATTAAATGCCGTGCAGCAAAGTTTTAACTAGTATTGTGGCTAATCTCCAAATCTCATCACCAGTGCAGAATATAATTTCCTGCGGAGAAAACTGGCCATTTGTATCTGCGATCCAATTATTTTGGTCACTACCACCCTTGTGACGTAGGTGAATGTAGATCGACCGGTAAATCGAGAACTTTTCCTTCTGGCTCAGCTCTCTTCACGACAGATTGGTGCAACATCCGCATCACTGCAGACGCAGCACCAATCTGCCTGTCGATCTCACGCTCCATGTGTCCTTCACTAACAGAACCCCGAGAAACTCCTCCACTTGAGGCAGGACCTCATCCCTGACCCTGAAGGGCAGTCTACCCTTTTCCGATTCAAGTCTTCAAATGTTTAAAAATTGTATTAAATCAGATTTTTGTTGGCAATTGAACACAAACCGTTAAATCAGACAATATTCTTAAGATGCAAGGTTGAGTTTTTTTATTTACAAGTGTACATTTCAGTTGTTTTACTGATAAAAAGACTGATGCCTCGTTTGACCACAAATGTTACCCACACTGCACCGGAGCAAAAAGGAAAAGTCGGAATTTGTTTGTGGCAAAAGCAACAATTTAGTACAAATAAGTCAGAGTAGGCCACGAAGTTAAGAAAGTACACTTTAACCTTAAATCAAAGAACGTTGAACTTACAGCCGTTTCAAATAAAAACTCAAAGAATATACTTACCTTGAAAACAAAAAAAAAAAATCGCTATGTTACCCATCTTAACCGGTCACTGATGATCTGATAAAAATTGCTCAAATTTTTTTAACAGAAGTGTCAATTTAATTGTGCTGCTTGTCAATCAGTGTGGTTATAAAAAAGGGAATCCCTTGATACTATTATTTGATACTTGTAAAGAGAAAAACATTTTGTCAACTGGACACTTAGTTACAAACACTCAGGATGGATGTGGTTTTCAAAAAAGGAGCTTGTAGGTAAATTCATGATGCCTTTTTTTCTTTGAAGGAAGTAAGACTTTGGAGACTTTATGACACCGAACATCATACTGAAGGGATGTGGTCATTTTCTTTCCAACACAACATGCACTTTCACTAAGAAGCATTTTCTTGGTTTAAAGGCTGCAGGAAATTTATTTCTTTTTCGAACTGGAGCCAGAGTTGGATGATCCAGATGAATGGTCTTGGCGCCTGAAATCACACAAAACATTGAGGGAAGAAACCACAAGGTTAGCCGGCTCCAGCGTGCACACATCCTGTATGCATGAAGCAAAGTTGACAAAATAGAATAAAAGCAGCGCAATGTGGCCAAATGTCAACATTAGTTTGCAAATCTGAGTCATCCCCATAAGCGACTCATCAGATGGCTTGTAATAATCTGTGCCATTGTGGTATTCCACAGAAACCCAAACCTTTCGGACGAATGGGATCTAGAACGCCTCCGTTTCCTCCCTCCAGATGAGGACCTGGAGCGACTGCGCTTCTGTCTCCCCTCAGGTGAGGAGGAGGGGGAGCGGGACCTCTTCTGGGGAGAGGAGCCCTTTCCAGACCTGGAGCTGGATCTTTTGGGGGAATAAACCAAGCAGTAAGGTCAGTGAAATCAAAACCGGCCTACGATTGTGGGTATTTATCAGGCTTCTCTGTTATCATCTACTGAACGTTTCGCCCCAGGGGGCTGTGAACTTTAAATGAAGGAAATGTGTTTGTAATTAAGTTACATTAATGTTGTGGGTTAAGCAGGACTCACTCCTGAGAGAGGTGTGATAAATACCCCAGATGTCTATCTGAACATCTGAGCCGTAGTAACCGTTAAGCTCAAGCAAGTTAGAAAAGATTTATACTATTCATACTCCTGGGCCAACCCCCCCCCCCAATAAATCTGCATGTGTTAAAAGTACTACATGAACTGGTATGGAGCTTGCTGCCCCACACATACACTCTCTAAAGGGAGAGAGTGCATGTCACCTCATTCACCTGGAGCGAGACCTGGAGCGAGATCCGGATCTGGAAGAGGAAGAACTTCTAGAGCGGGATCTGAAAGACAAAAACACAACAGAACCTTTCCAATATTTTCTCAAATCAGAATCCATGTGCATGATAACACCCGGATGTTCTATAAGACTTTACTTCAGTTTAAAGAAGCAATCAAATAACCAACAGCAAACTACAGACATAAACAGCATATGTAGTTTGTGCATTATTATAGGAAAAGGGGGCAAAAAAAGTCCTCAATAGGGGTCGACCGATTTAGCATTTTTTCCACCATCGGCCAATAAGCCTCTTTAGTAGAACCAATTTAAAGTCAGGCACTTCCGTAGGCAGCCCACTGCTTGGGGTAAGGAAAGAAAGAAAACAATGTTCTATATGGCACATCTCAAGAAAAAAATCCCGAGGTGCTTCACAAAAAAAAATAATAATAATAATAAAAAAAAATATGAAAAAGATTTTTAAAAATGAAGGCGGCCTCGTAATCTAATAGCAGCGTTCCACCCGCGAGCTCGTTCCCAACAGTGAGCAACTCCGACGTGAAACGGACGTGTTCCACACGGCTGATCCCAAGACGTCACGTAATCGCAGAATTGCAACACCACACGTGATTCCAGACATCCACACACAATAAAAGACAAGCAGACAGCTGCATGCATGAAAAACTGTCTGTTCTCGTTACATTGGTTACAGTAGTTCACAGGAAACGACGTACTGCACGTGACATTTATTTTGAAAGTTTTCTGATGTTCTACACTGCTTTTGTGTTCGACTTCCTGTCTGACCCGATTTTAACTGTGAAGTTTGACGTGTCTGGGAAGTGTAGCTCATCGAAATAGACTTGAAGCATAATGATAGCATGCCCTCGCTTCTGGGGCACGCGCATAACGTCACTTAGCTTAGTGGAAATAAACTCATCCACTATAACCGCGGCTAATTGCAGCGTAGTACGTTTCACGGCCGTTTTGCAATGCTTTGATGTGCAGTGGAAAGCCGGGGTCATAAACAAGAAAACGGAGTCTGAAGCAGAGGTCGCTGCAGCTCTTTCCTTTGTTCTAAATGACTTGAACATTTCTAACCACAACAAATAGAAGTGCTAAAAGCCTTTCTTCTGAAGAAAGAGGTTTGTCGCCAGACGCCATTTTTGACTACTGCCAAAAAAAAAAAAAAAACAGACTGAATGAACTTCAGATGTTGCTGGTGTGTTTTCAGTATTATAGATTATTAAATCATATTGTACATTTATTCAGTAGACTTTGTCTTTCTATTCTAAAGTTGTATTTATTTACATCCCTGAAAAACATCTTCTTAATAAATGCTGTGAAACAACTGGCATTTCTTTTTTGCCTGTTTTGTATATCTAATACTTGGTCATTTTATTTGTATTTTTGTTAATCTTGGTAAAATGTTTGATTTGACCACTGAAAAGTGCATAAAATTAAGATTCAACAGTTGGTTAAATTCAGTGTTTAAAAACAGATTAGGCTCAGAAATGTGCATCCACTGCTGTTTTTAGTGATAATTTAGCATACAGATAAGGTGCCAAACATCAAGATATCGGCCCAAAAAATATCTGTGCTACTCATCGGCCATCGGCTGACCATGACTGCCTCATATCAGTAATAGAAAAAACAATACCGGTCGATCTCTAGTTCTCAAGGATCATTTTTTCTTTTTCAAACACAAAAAAAGACAACATCAGGTTCTACCCTGTAGACAGGGAGGGGATTAGGAGAGAGAAAAACAAGTTGGCAAAAGAAGAACATATTACTCATTGATGATTAAACCAGAAGAAAGATTGAGCTGATACTGACATTTTGCCTGGAGTTACCCTTGACCTGTACCCTTTTACCTGGACCTGGACCGAGAGCTGGAGCTGGAAGACTGCGAGGAGGAGCGGGAAGAACCGGAGTGGCTGCCCTTCTTCTGGGCTGGTTTTTCCTCATCCTCGCTGGCAATCAAGTCATATTTAGACAGATCTCCATCCTCGTCGTCATCATCTTCGTCCTGTAAAGAGGTGACTTAAAAATAAGCACTGGTCCTAGGTCTCCTGAGAATTTTTCAGTTTCCTACTTAAATGATCTTACATCCAATTTGTACTTTGACAGGTCACCATCTTCGTCGTCGTCTTCCTCCTCCTCCTCCTCCTCCGCTGCTGCTGCAACTGCTGCTGCTTTTGGCACTTCTTTCTTTTCACTTTCCTTTGAGGAAGATGTGCTATCTCTCTTTCCACGGAACTTTTTCTTTTTCCTACCAAACTGCAGCAAAATTAACGATTTTGAATGAGAAACTTCACAAATGCCAATGTTTTAAATTATATTAAAATCTTTTCTTAAAACATCAGCTTTCCCAGTAACAGCTTGAAATCACCTCATCATACTCCCCATCAGACTCCTCACGTTCTATATATTCCACGTTTTCTCTTTCATTGAAGCCTCCACCATAACCTGGAGAGGTGTGACAAAGAAAGGTTCAAATACTGAATGGTAATCTAAAAAAGGTAAAGTACAAGCGTGCCCCTGAATTTTTTACTGGATTACCTGTTCTTTCTTCAAGCTTGGCATATTTGGGAGTGTTGCACATGTTGCACTCAGATCGTCTAGCCCAGTTCACATTGCCACATCTTTTTAAACCCAGGAAGAATATTCATAATTAAACATTCGTTCAAAATGCAGATTTGATGTCATAGATTAAAATTCTGCTTCCCAACAGCAGTCTCAGTGTTGGGAGTATAAACTAATCACATACGTTTTGCACTGCCAGTCATTTGCACTGAAGAGGCCTCTGCTTTTCTCAGCAAGTGTTTTTCCAATTTCTGTTCCTCCTGCTTTCATCATCTTTGCCTCTGTTGTTTTTTCTGCAAAAAACAAACAAACAACTGTTTAACTTTTAGATTGAATGTGGCCTTTACATGCAATAGATTAAAAATACCTCTGCCGCATCTGTTGCAGCTCGTTCTTCTCGCAAAGTTCACATTTCCACATCTGAAAAAGCATAATGCATACGAGTTCATATGCTAGGTTTTGCAAATGGTTAGCAATATTTGTAAAAGATGGAGCTCTGACATCTGAAACTGTCTGTCACATTTTAGCGAGTAAATTCGTAACATGATAGTGGGGACTGACCACACATATCACGGAGACACATCTACACACGAGCTAACAATAGCTAACACGCTAATGTGATTGCCCGCGGCCAAACGCATTGACATACGTAACGCATACATATAGACAAGTCTGTATGTTTAACTGAAGTTAAAGTACTGATTTTGATTCCAAATGACTAGAAGAAGGAGAAATTAGATGTATTGGTTTAAATGTCCAGCGCTAGCATTAGCTACATGCTACAAGGCCTTAGCTTGTTGGCACGAGCAGCCAATGTTGCAGAAAATAAACCTCGGCAAATATATTGGGACACGATTTAGTTTATGGCCTTACTTCTTGTCTGGACATATCCAGTCACCGTCGCTGACTCGAAAACTCTTTCCTGACATTATTTTAGATAGTTAGCCCACTAAAGCCAGAGCTGAATTTTGCTCACACTACTCGGTTCATGCGGCAGGCAAGCGTTAGCACGAGCCGACGACTCCTCCCTCCACTGCTGCCTTCAAATTATTTCATTGCTTCGTAAATCTCACTTCCATTGTTTGGAGTTTGAGAAGTACTTATTTCTGTGTAATTATTTAGTCTTCCGAGAGAAATGATTTACTTTACAAAATGTGTCTAATTGTGCTCTACGCCGCGAGTGGCACGTAACTTGTTATTCTATGACTGATTTATTCGAATAATTTTTGAGATTTCTGAAAACACGTGAACGCAACATTAATAAAAGAACGTGTTCAAAGAAATGTTTACACACAGAGACACATTATGAAGGGCTAAGCCCAACAATGAAAATAAGCAATACTTATTACTTGGATGTTTCAATTGTATGTGTCAAAATATCAGAAAATAAATTAATATTCATGCAAGTGTAACAGAGAAATATATCCAATAAATAGCTGTTTAATAATAAAAAAAAACATTTCAGACTCATCAAGTTTTGAAGGAGAGAGTGAGATTTAAAAGCAATGAGAGCCTTCAGGTTACAGTAACTCATTTCAACATGATGATTTAGGACCGGTTTTCAGTTATGCTTTACTGCTGAATGATAAGTATGAAGGGAAAACAAGTGGAGTAACTTATTTTTATTCAAGTTTTTAAACATAATTTACTTTTAGCAAGGTATGGAATGGCCACTAGATGGCAATTAACACCAACATTTAGAGCAACACTGCCTTTTTATTTGGCTTCGTCTGCTCAATAAAGATTGGACTTGTTCATCTTTATCATAATGGGTTGAGATGTGGGACAAAAAACTGCTATGAACCCAAGCAGCATGGGGATTTTCTTTTACCTCTGAAGCAGGGGAAAATAAAACATTTTTTACTCCACTCACATGGTGACGAAATCACATGTACATGTGTACACATGTGTACACATGTACATGTGTACACATGTGTACTATGTGACATGTAGAAAGTAGATTTAAGAATACATATTTTAGAGGGTGAGAGCCAAATTACTGCAACATATTGTGAGTCCTTCTAATCTTGCAACAGCATCTTTGACTTGTGCATGGGGGAATGTCCTGTGACTGACGATCTTCCGTGACGTGTAAAGATAAGAGGCTGGGTTATTGCCTTGGGCTGTTTGCAATACTTAAGAACACCTTTTAGAGCAGTTCTTTCAAATAACATGTATAAAAAACACTTGACTGTTGTAACTAATGAGTCAAGTTGCACACATATCCACTCGCAAGCAGTCGGTAGAAAGGATTTATATCACATCTAGATGAGCTTAAAGTAGGAAATGGAGAAAAAAGACCTTGTTCTGTTGTGAAGTGGTCCCCACTGATATTACAAAGGCAGATGACAAGTACAAACCCGTGCAAAGCAGATCACAATAGATTAATGTCTGCTTGTCTTGTAAAGAAACGGATACAGTTCAGAATGTAAGTTTTAAATCACCTAAAATTTCTTTACTTTGTTTCCAAGGAGTCAAACTTTTTTGCAATCCTTTAAAGTGGCCTTGAACAATATTTCTCTCAGCTTTCTGAAAGTCTTTCAGAGTTTCTCACTGGACTTTTGCTGATCTCTGTCTCATCTAGTCCTTGTAAACGTGACCAGGACAGCATGTGCAGCAAGTGAGAGATGAGGGCAAACAAAGAATTGTGAAGGCTACTGTATACAAGACAAACTGAGTCAGAAAAATCATTTCTCAAAAACATAGAACAAGTCCTGCAAATATCCGATACGAGAGCTGAGAAATGCATCAAACCGGAGTTGATCATCAAGTGTTTCCTTATCAGATTCAGATTTCAGATTTATTGGCCAAGTAAAATTACATTTACAAGGAATTTAGCTTCGGTAGATGCTCTCTCTCTAAAACATACAACAACTACAACAAATGAGATTAAAAATACATAAAAACACATAAGAACATGTATACCCACACACACACACACACACACACACACACACACACACACACACACACACACACACACACACACACACACACACACACACACACACACACACACACTCACATCCATAACCATACTGACTAAGTATAAAAAAGTATAATAAAAGGACGGTAAAATAATCTACAGATTCAGGAGAGAAATGGCTGAAGGAAAGAAACTGTTCTTCTATAAAGCACATATAGAAGATATGTGCTTTATAGAAGAACTTATTGGTGCTAAAACATTATTTTATGCATCAGCAAGTATTTTCTCATAGAGTTACAAAATAATACTTTCAGTCTAGGTTTTCATTAGATGTCTGAACGAACGGCACACTCGTCACAATTTAGTTGCTTAGAAAATTCTCTGAAATGCTTGCTCATTGGAAGCACAACTCTAAAAAATGAGGAATGATGCAGGAATTTTGCACGAAACTTTATTTTTTGCAATCCACAGAAAAGTTATGTGACGTTTACATTAAAAAAATGTATATCTTAAGGGATTTCTTTCTAAAATCAGTCACATTTCAAATTGGAAGATCCATTTCCAATTTGAGACAATTTATTTCTTAACTGCAGGTAAGCCTCTAAATTTAGTTAACAGTCAGAAAGAGCCTGGCCATACGTTGCCGGCGGCTAGGGGTGAAGGAAGGGCTAAAAGTTGCAGTTATATTTTATGTGATAAGATTTAACAACTGCTGCAGTTCAGATCTCAAGCTGCTCTGGAGCCACTTTCGTCCACTCCCTCGGTCAAGATCAAAGACCCTCGGAGGTTGCTGTCACAGCTGGCGTGCAACCCTGAAGCCACGCTGGCAGTCATTTCAATATTTCAACTGGAGTATTTCACTTTTTCTTGGCTCCAGATCTCAGTTGCACACATTTCTGACCACAGTAAGACGACATTGCTGAGGCATGTCTCCCATGTCTTGAGAAAGACGTGTTTAATTAAGGACTCTGGAGGTGAACTGAACAAGAATTTTTAATCATTCACTGTTTTAATCATGTTTCCGTTAGGCTGACATGCACTTGATTTATGAACCCAGTCGCATTATTTATTAAGATGAAGGAACCGCAAAGATAAGGCTAAAGAGAAGAGAAAGGCTTGTTTTGATTTTGACTCTCATTGTTGCAGGAAATGATTCTCAGACCTTTATCAGCATAGTTCAAAGTAAAATAGAACTCAAGAGTGTTTTTTCATTTAAACAGAATAACTTCTACTGTGTGGATTACCTAAACCAGGCGTGTATACCCTGAGGCTCTGGAGCCACAAGTGGCCCTTCTGCAATGGCTGTGAAAACTAACTTATGTTTAAGCTTTTCATTTTTTTATGGAATCATTGTATTGAGTTTGATGACACTTAATGACACTAAAAGGATTTTATTTTTTGACCTCTATTTATGTTTTCTTTTTATCTCATTTTCGGCAAAAATGAAAAAAATGTGCATACCCTTTTTATTTGTTTGTTATTTATAAATCCAACTCAACTCAACTCAGCCTTTATTTATAAAGCACCTTACAGGCATGAGCATGCCACCAAGGTGCTGTACAACAAAAGAATAAAACAATAAAACACAAAGCACTACAGACATAATTAAAACCACAAATAAGAATTACAAAATGTAAAACATTAACAATTGCTAACCCACAGAATTAAAAGCCAGATCATAAAAGTAGGTTTTCAGCCTCATTTTAAAAACTGCTACTGATGGAGAGCCCCTAATAGTTAGGGGCAGTGCATTCCACAGTTTTGGACCCGCAACAGAGAACGCCCTGTCCCCTCTCAACTTCAACCTAGCCTTAGGAGCCACAAGTAGCAGCTGGTTCTCAGAGCGGAGTGACCGGGCCGGAACATACGGCTGCAGCAACTCCATCAAATAGGTTGGAGCCACACCATTCAGCGCCTTAAACACCATTAAAAGAAGTTTAAAATGAATTCTAAAATTAACAGGCAACCAGTGGAGAGCAGCCAAATTTGGTGTCACGTGTTCATGCTTCCTTTTGTTGTCCAAGAATCTTGCTGCAGCATTCTGGACAAGCTGAAGCCGGTTTACAGTACCCTTACTTACACCAAATAAAACGGAATTAAAATAGTCGAGTTGTGAGGTAATAAAAGCATGTGCAACAGTCTCAAGGTCACGTCTAGATAAAAACGGCTTTACTTTAGCCAAACGTCTTAAATGATAAAATGAAGAGGATACTACAGTACTCACATGAGCATTCATGCAGAATGCACTGTCCATCTTCACGCCAAGGTTGACTGCTGAAACACCCAAATAGGAGTTCAGTTCACCGCAGTCTACGTTTGAAAAATCAACATGTCTGCTCGGACCAAACAACAGTGCCTCTGTTTTTTCCCCATTGAGACACAGGAAGTTTTCTGCCAACCGTATCTTAATTTCTGCCAGACAATCCAAAAAAATTTTTTATCGTGTGATCACCGACGCCATCTAGAGGTAAGTACAATTGGCAGTCATCGGCATAGAGAGGGAATCCAATTCCAAACTTTCATAGAATGTCACCCAATGGGAGAATATAAATTGAAAACAGCAAGGGTCCCAGTATTGAACCCTGCAGTATCCCCCATGGCAGATGTGAGAAGCCTAATGAGAAACCACCCATCCTCACACAAACCATACTGTCACGTAAAAATGATCTAAACCAATTTAGGGCTTGCCCAGAAATTTCCACATAATGTTCAAGGCAATGGAGCAACACTTTGTGGTCTACGGTATCGAAACCTGCTGTAAGATCCAATAGGACCAGCAGCACTGGACTGCCACCATCTGTTGCTAAAAGAATGTCATTAAAGACCTTGATAAAGGCAGTCTCGGTACTATGCAACATTTTAAAACCTGATTGGAGGGTCTCTAAAATATCAAAGTCCTTAAAGAAGTCCATGAGTTAAGTATAGACACATTTTTCAAGCATCTTACCCAAAAAAGGGAGCTTGGAGATTGGCCTATAATTCACTGGCAAGGAAGCATCCAACCCAGGTTATTTTTAAAAGTGGGTGAATAACTGTTTTTTAAAAAACCTTCAGTACAAAACCAGAAGCCAAACTGTTATTGATTATGTGCAA